GGCCCCTCCTCCCCGCGGTGGGGCGGGGGAACCTCCCCCAGATCTCCCTGGGCCTGCCCCTGTGTTGGCATGCCTTCTCCTTCCCATCATATCCTGGGTAGGAGAGACTTCTCTTATTATCTTACCTTGTGTCTCCTAAACCTTCTAGTACTATTGAGGAACCTTGTAGCTCCAAGGCCTTGTCTGCATTCGGGTTTAAACCCTGATTCTCCTATACTGATGTATCTACACATAGGTGAACATAATTTGTTGGGGAAGTATTCACATGTTTTTTGTAAAGGGAAATCATGCCTTACAGCCTTCTAGAATTCTTTGAAGGGATCAGCAAGCATGTGAACAAGGGAGTTCAAGTGGATATAGTGTACTTAGATTTTCAGAAAGCTGTGACAGGGTCCCTCATCAAAGGCACTTAAAGTAAGATGTCATGGGATAAGAGGAAAAGTTCTCTCATGGATCAGTAACTGGCTACAAGATAGGAAACAAATGGTAGGAATAAATGTTCAGTTTTCAGAATGGAGATATATATATATAGTGCTGTACCAGGGTCTGTACTTGGACCAGTACAATGCAACATATTCATAATGATTTGGAAAAAGGGATAAACAGTGAGGTGGCAAAATTTACAGCTCATATATCTTGACTTTAGCAAAGCTTTTGATACGGTCTCCCACAGTATTTTTGCCAGCAAGTTAAAAAAGTATGGATTGGATGAATGGACTATAAGGTTGATAGAAAGCTGGCTAGATCGTCCAGTCAACGGGTAGTGATCAATGGCTTGATGTCTAGTTGGCAGCCTGGTATCAAGCGGACTGCCCCAGGGGTCTGTCCTGTGGCCTGTTTTGTTCATCATCTTCATTAATGATCTGGATAATGGGATGGATTGCACCCTCAGCAAGTTTGCAGATGACACAAAGTTGGGGGAAGAGGTAGATACACTGGAGGGTAGGGATAGGGTCCAGAGTGACCTATACAAATTGAAGGATTGGGCTAAAAGAAATCTGATGAGGTTCAACAAGGACAAGTGCAGAGTCCTGCATTTAGGACGGAAGAATCCCATGCTCTGCTACAGGCTGGGGACCAACTGGCTAAGCAGCAGTTCTGCAGAGAAGGACCTGGGGATTACAGTGGATGAAAAGCTGGATATGAGTCAACCGTGTGTCCTTGTTGCCAAGCAGACTGACGGCATATTGGGCTTCATTAGTAGGAGCATTGCCAGCAGATTGAGGGAAGTGATTATTCCCCTCTAGTTGGCACTGATGAGGCCACATCTGGAGTATTGCATCCAGTTTTTGGGCCCTGTAGTAGTTCCGGGGTGGGGCTCGTCCCTTCCTGGGGCGCCTGAAAGTCAGGCCGCTCCGCTACAAAGCGAATAACAGTTAGGGCCCCGACCTTTGGGTAGGGGCTAAGCACCCAATTGACAGTTCAGGGCTCAGGCCCCTATGCAGGGACTGAGCACCCAATTAACAGTTCAAGAGCTCAGGCCCTTATGCAGGGACTGAGCACACAATTAACAGTTCAAGAGCTCAGGCCCTTATGCAGGGACTGAGCACACAATTAACAGTTCAAGAGCTCAGGCCCTTATGCAGGGACTGAGCACACAATTAACAGTTCAAGAGCTCAGGCTCTTTGTGCAGGGGCTGAGCACACAATTAACAGTTCTAGAGCTCAGGCTCTTTGTGCAGGGACTGAGCACACAATTAACAGTTCTAGAGCTCAGGCCCTTATGCAGGGACTGAGCACACAATTAACAGTTCAAGAGCTCAGGCCCTTATGCAGGGACTGAGCACACAATTAACAGTTCAAGAGCTCAGGCCCTTAT